GAAATCTTGCAATTGCATGTGATCTTTGGTGTAGTAACTCTAAGTGTCAGCTTCTATAGTATAAATAGGGTTGGTATGTGACGTAGTAAGTGCAGTCTCCGACTATTCTTAGGTATCTTCCTAATTATTGATGGTGTAAGCTTTTCTTTCCTTTTAGAGATCCTCTTTTTGGTACCTATGTTGTCCTATTTTATCCATTTAGTCATTGCCCAAAGAATAAATAATATATTTTTTCTATTTCAAAATCTTTTTGTTTTGGAGCTGACCATTTAGAAGGAGTTATAATTTTTCTAGGAAATTCACAGTGCATGAGAGGAGAATTACCCTGTGGGAGAATACAGATGATCCAACTCCCAGATGTATCCAACAAATCCCCTTATCACACACCTAACAAATAGTAAGTCGCTATAATCACTAGATTATATAAAGGGAAAGCGTGTCAGTTCTAGGTACACAATTTCAATTTCCATTCACTCTTCTCCTTCATATACTGGCTTGAGCATTTGAAAAAGTGTTTTCCTTGCACGTCATCCCCTCTTCCACTGCATCGAAAGCTTCATTCTGTCGTTGTTCATCACAACCACCGATTCGCCAATCAATTATGGTTATGCAGCAAAATAGTGGTGTCATATGTGATAATCGACTATTGATTATTGTGTTTTTCATAAATCGCACATTATTTTTTATCCACCGTTTCTAAACCTTTTTAGTTTATCGGATCAAGAGTTATCAAAATGGAACACGAAGATCCATTACATTCAACCAGATCAAGCAGCATGTCAACTTTGATTTCTCGAATTTCCACATGAATTCCAAACATTTGAATAATGGTTGGATCCCAAGCTACTCGATCTACCACAACACACAAAGTCGTCGCTCAAGAAAAAATCAATCAACCGCCTCCACCTCTTTCACAAGGTGTCGTAAATCAAGTAGTGGATACTCTGATAAATCCAGATCTCCTCCAAGCTCCTCAGATCATTGGATCTACTCCAGTACCTTTGATCAAACCTCCAATACCACCACCGAAGACCTAACCAGAAGTATCGTATGCCTTCTAACTATTGCAAGCCAATCTCAGAATACAAGGTGTCAATGAATTGTTGAACAACATGTACAGTATCGTTTGGCAACAAAATTAGAGGCAATGGAAGAGAGGTTACTTTATTTCTAGGAAAGTTTGCACAACGCGCCTCCACACGGAAACACTACGCAAGAAGTTATGTCAAAAGAAGCCAAGCTGCCATCCTTGAGCTAACCACAACAAGAAGAGACGAAACTTTGAAGTCGCAAAAATCATCAGAAAAGAAAAAAGGGCGAGAGTCCTCCTCAGAGCCCCGAGGAAGATCGGGGCAACCATGATCCTCTATAGGACCAGGTTGAGAAGCAGCCACTAAAGAATCCACATAAGCATCCTATATGCACCCATATTTTAGATAGCATAACACTGAATTCGATGGAGAAACTTTTTAAGTTGAGTGAAATACAACATGAAAGGAGATCCAGACGAGCTCATGTACTCATCAACGAATAGTTCAATTACTTCAACGCTTACGAGGCCTCAAAGTGTAAATTGTTCACACTAACCTTGATTGGACTGGCTAGGATATTGTTCAACGCTCTTTTGGATGAAAACATAGAATCCTAAAAGAACTTATGTGAGAGATTCATTTTTCATTTCACTTTCTGGAAAAAGGCAACCAATGACAATAACTGCCTAGAGAGGGATCCCTAAAGAAAGGGTGGAAATCCTATGATCTTACATCGACTGATTCACACAGGCAATCGTGGAAGTAGAGGGAGCCTCGAAAGATCTCACACACTGGATATTCGAGAATAACGTGTTGTGTGATAGCCTTTTCAGACATAAGTTAGGAAGAAAGGAAAAGCATACCATGCATGAACTGTTGAAAAATGCTCAACCTTTCATCAACCATGAGGAAAATTTAACACCCGGTTTGATATTTCGGTTGCTTCCGACACCAATTCTAGCCTCTTGACGGGGAAGAAGTCTCATCGACGAAAAGATGAATTCGACTGAGGAATGCACGGTCGAAACAATAAGTATACTCTATTTAATGCATCAAGGGAAAATATTTATCAAGAGTGTGCCAACACATCGTTCTAAAAGGAGAAATTAAAGCCCCTTTCACATTAGAGAATCATCTCGAACAAACAAGACAAAGTACTGCCGCTTCCGCAAGGGCCAAAACATCGACGACTGCGTACAACTGAAAAATGTTAATGAGGGGTTGATAAAAGTAAGTTGATTTTTTCGAGTACATAAATGAAGAAAAAGGAGAAAGAGAATAGTTATCTAAGAGTAAGTCCCCCTTAAAAGTTGCGGATGTTAACATCGGTGGAGAACATAAGGAGGCTAGCAAGGAAAAACGCCAATACATTACACCCATCATTGGAGAGGAACGATGAAAAGAAAGATCATTGAGATGTTGGCCGTTCATAGAAAGGATGGAAGTACATCAACAAAATCCCGGGACAGTAGAAAGTCGGGGAGCCCCAAACAAAATATTGTCATTAATGGTAACAGTTACAAACGAACATTTTGATGTTTCATAATTCTGATTGAATGTGATATCTTGTGCGGTATCATGTACTCTGAGCTTTTTTTAAAAGATGGTCCTCGAAGGTGGAAGTTTATAGTCTTACGAAGGCTCGGATTTGTAGGCGTTCAACAGTATAATGGCGCGACCATAAGTATACATCGAGCTACTGATATTTGTAGGAGAGGAGAAATCTAATATGTTAACTCGTTGTTCCCTGCATAAGTAATTGCAAATGCATTCTTAAAAGATATTCACAATCACCTTAGATGTTATAGCCTCACTAGTCAATCTCAATCTCAAATAATATAATTTTTAAAGAGAGTTAGTCACAATCAATGTCTCAAGAGTATACTCAAGTGGGATCAATCAGAAAAAAAAAACGATAGAAATCAATATAACACCTCTAATCAACCAGCTCAGAAGCATGGATATCCAATCTTCCAAAAATAAGTGATAGTTATTCCACCCGATTATATTTTTAAATTTACGTTTAACATTAGATTAATGTCTAATTATTATGAATTATTACAAATTCTGAAATATTTATTTATGTATAATTATCACCCACACATGCACACATGCATATATAAAAGATAAATAAACTTAAGTGAAGACCTCGTGAATTTGCACGGAATTCGGAACATTGCATGTGTGATTAGACACACATATCTCAAATAGGTAAAAACAAAAACATACCTATTTTTTTATTACAAATATATGTTATACTCAAATGTGACAAAAAAATGCCAAGAAGACTAACCCAGGAAAATGAACTTCCCAAGCATATGATTCAACAAAACATGTTTTCTTAAAATACGTAGAGGATAATAAAAATGTTCAACTTGCTGCAAGAGGTTGTCAAAAACTCTAAAACGACCTTAAAGCTTAAAGCTAGCAAGAGAACACTTGGTTTTAAATATTGAATTAAAGAATTATTTTCGATACTAAGATAAATCTTTAAGAACACCTTGCAGCGGCATGTCTAAATATTATTATATTCTTAATTAATATATAATTTTAAAATTTTAATTGAAATATAATAAAAAAGATAAATTGTTAGATGTAAATAGAATTATAAATATTGGATATAAATTTTTTTTTGACTTTTATTATTATTTTAATAACATAATAGTGATGAATTAAAAGTACAAACTTGCAGTCTCCTGTCTAAAATATCATTATATCTTTAATTGATATATAAAATTTTTTTTATATAGATGTTAGATTTATAGATGTAAAAAGAAATTATAAATGTTATATATTAAAAAAAAGTTGACTTTAATTTTAATAACTAATAGCGATGAATTAGAAATGTAAATTCATTGCATACTGATTAATCTATAATTTTAATTTTATGTAAATTTATTTGATATTTGATAAAACATATTTTATAAAAAATATATAATATTAGTAAGAGAGATTTAAGTAATTATTTTGATTTTTTTTTCAGTTTGAAAATCAATTGTCATACTTTCATTAGTATAATTTAAAGATAATTTTTATATATTTTTTTAATATTACACATTTTTATTTTAAAAATTTATGAAGATTCTTTTAAAATTATGTTGAAAAATAAAATAAAAAAGTTAATTATTATTATAATATTATTTTAGATATTTTATCTTTTACAATAATATTTTTGGATACTAAATTTTTCACAAAATCACTTACTAATTCATTTAAAATTATTTCAAATAAATTTTTATAAAAATTTGAGATAATTTTTTGAAAAATTATAATTCTGACTGCAATATTTATGTTTATATAAAATCAAAATTAATTTTTTAATTTATAAAAAGCAAATTTAAAAAATTATTAATATTTAAAAAGCAAATATGAAATTCTTTTTAAAAATATGAAGAAAAAAAAATCTATATTTTTAAAACGAAAACTAGTGCAAACTAATCCTAAAATTAAAACAACATACTCACCCGCTCCATTGACAACTCTCAATCTCTAAATTCTAAATAATTTTTGTATTTTTTATTTTTCCATCCTAGTCTTTATTATTTATCAGTACTTCCTTTTTTATTTTTTCAATCTATTACTAAGAATTATATAAATTATTTCAAAACTTAAAACCGTTGAATATTTAAATGACATATAAAGGTAGGATTAAGCATTCCCATCATTAGCTATCATCAATCAATTCATCATAAAGGTTCTACAAAATAAGTCATAAAAAAGACACATCAACAAATCATAAGCAATTTAAAACAAAATACCGTGGCAAACTTGCAATTTTATTTAAAATGGCAAAAGCCCTTCCATATATGATGATCAAACTAAAGAGAAAATAAAAGACTTGACACATTGGAATTGTTTCGAACATACACCAATTTTAAACACAACAACAGAGACAAAAGGGACACACAAATGCAAACAAACATACTACAGGGACACACAAATACAAACATACATACTACAGGAACACACTTAGAATCCACCACGGAGACGAAGAACAAGGTGTAGGGTTGATTCTTTCTGAATATTGTAATCTGCCAAGGTACGGCCATCCTCCAACTGCTTTCCTGCAAAAATAAGCCTCTGCTGGTCAGGTGGAATACCCTCCTTATCCTGTATTTTTGTTTTCACATTATCAATAGTGTCAGAGCTTTCCACCTCCAAGGTAATAGTTTTCCCAGTAAGTGTCTTCACAAATATTTGCATCCCACCACGAAGCCTCAAAACCAAGTGTAGAGTAGATTCCTTCTGAATATTGTAATCAGCCAAAGTACGACCGTCCTCCAATTGCTTACCAGCAAAAATTAGCCTCTGCTGGTCTGGAGGAATTCCCTCTTTGTCCTGAATTTTGGTCTTCACATTATCAATTGTATCAGAACTTTCAACCTCCAAAGTTATGGTCTTCCCGGTAAGGGTCTTCACAAAAATTTGCATCCCACCACGAAGCCTCAAAACCAGATGGAGAGTTGATTCCTTCTGGATGTTATAATCAGCCAGGGTCCTTCCATCTTCAAGTTGTTTCCCTGCAAAGATAAGCCTTTGTTGATCTGGTGGGATACCCTCCTTATCCTGAATCTTAGTTTTCACATTATCAATGGTATCTGAACTCTCAACCTCCAAAGTAATAGTTTTTCCTGTCAAAGTCTTGACAAAGATTTGCATTCCACCTCTCAATCTAAGCACCAAATGAAGGGTAGATTCCTTCTGTATGTTGTAATCAGCTAGTGTTCTTCCATCCTCAAGTTGTTTCCCTGCAAAGATAAGCCTCTGCTGATCTGGAGGGATGCCTTCCTTATCCTGAATCTTAGTTTTCACATTATCAATAGTATCTGAACTCTCAACCTCTAAAGTAATAGTTTTTCCTGTCAAAGTCTTAACAAAGATTTGCATTCCACCTCTCAATCTAAGCACCAAATGAAGGGTGGACTCCTTTTGAATGTTGTAATCCGCAAGGGTCCTTCCATCTTCAAGTTGTTTCCCTGCAAAGATAAGCCTCTGCTGATCTGGAGGGATCCCTTCCTTATCCTGAATCTTAGTTTTCACATTATCAATAGTATCTGAACTCTCAACCTCCAAAGTAATAGTTTTTCCTGTCAAAGTCTTAACAAAGATTTGCATTCCACCTCTCAATCTAAGCACCAAATGAAGGGTAGATTCCTTCTGTATGTTGTAATCAGCTAGTGTTCTTCCATCCTCAAGTTGTTTCCCTGCAAAGATAAGCCTCTGCTGATCAGGTGGAATACCTTCCTTATCCTGGATCTTGGTCTTAACATTATCAATTGGTCTTAACATTATCAATTGTATCCGATGATTCAACCTCAAGGGTGATAGTCTTCCCTGTCAAGGTCTTGACAAAGATCTGCATTCCACCTCTCAATCGAAGCACAAGGTGAAGAGTAGACTCCTTCTGGATATTATAATCAGAAAGGGTGCGGCCATCTTCCAATTGTTTCCCTGCAAAAATAAGCCTTTGCTGATCGGGTGGAATCCCTTCCTTATCTTGGATCTTAGATTTCACGTTGTCTATGGTATCAGAACTCTCCACCTCGAGAGTGATAGTTTTGCCGGTCAATGTTTTCACAAAGATTTGCATCTGTACAATTTAACATAGTAATAAACATCATAAACAATCACAACACAAACCCTAATCAAACGAAATTAGAACAAATCACAACACAAACCATAATCAACCGAAATTAGAACAAATCACAACACAAACCCTAATCAACCGAAATCAGAAAAAATTTGTACTACAGAAAATAGAAAATCAATTTAGAAATTAGGGGAAAAGCTTCACATCTGTGACAGATCGCAAATCAGAAACACGATCATGTGATAAACCGAATTGATCAAAATATCGAATCGCAGAGGTATTAATAGAATAGAAAACCTAAGCATGTTGAATAAGAAAAAGAATACTCTGAATTTGAGAGGAATAGATAGAAAACAGTAACATACCTTTAATCGGAGAAGATTTTTCGAAGAAGAAAATAAGAGTGTTGAGAATTTTATCGTATAGCGAAATATGAAAATGGAATGAAGAATTCAATTAGGAGGAGTCCTTTTATATATAGGTTATGCCGACTCAATGACAAAATGGTTCTTTGAACTTCCAATAAAATTTTGCCACGTATAATGTTAAGCTGGCCAAATAGGAGAAGTTTGGTTTTCCTATGGACGATAGCGTGGCTTCTGCAATGATCTAGAAGATTCTTCTATACCAATCTGTTTACTAGTGATTTTCTTTTCCTTCGAGTTGAACTTTTCAAACATACTTCTATATTAAAAAGTGTATATTTAAATTCTAAAATTTAAGGAAATGTTTGGGTTAATTTTGTAAAATTGTGTTTTAGAAATTAAAATAGTTTTAGATGATTTGGTTTTTATTTCTAAAAATTAGGAAGAAAGAAACAAGAAAAATGGTACATTTTTAGTGAATTTGTAATATTGTGTAGTTTCAAAATGTAAAAGGAATGTATGAATTATCTTGTTTTATTTTAGGAGTGTTATATAATTGATGGTAGGTTGAAGTATAAGAGTTTTTAGGACAGAGGTAGAAGTCTTTAGGGATTAGAGATGGAGATATCTATAACGTTAGCACTCTAATATTTTAGTCAGTGTTTGAGAAGGTGAAATTATGCAAGCGCGAAAATGAGAGTAATATTTAGGTGTGACTTTGAGACATGTTTATTTAGGGTGAAGAGTTATAACCATTATCGAGTAATTTGACATGGATCGTGGGAGGTTGTTGGATGCATATCAACGCTGAAGATGAAAGTAATGTCGAGCTTTAATGCAATGCTCTAACGGAGGTACACTTGTTCGCCAGCCATTAGAATAATTTATTTGGATTGAGCCGCATAGTTGGGTCTTTGACCACTCTATAATAGTTGTCCCTAAGTCTCTGCTATCAAAAATATAATGAAAAATGTTAGATGTTGAAATTATAAGACTGGTCTAAACATGAATTTTGATGAGGAGATAGGCCCGTAAAGAGGATCACTTCGGGAAAAGGATGAGACTTCGTCGTGATTCTGAGTGGAGTAGGTGGTTTTGGTAATACACGTATTTAATGCCCATCGTGTCATTGTAGTGTTGTTTTGGGCAAGGCCACAATGGGCCCTCTCATGCCTAGGGTAAGGGAATGATGCACTTAAGACACTTGAATGCACTTGAGTATTATTAGAAGATTAAGGCCTCATCCTGATAGTTGGTTGTGGTTTTGTATTTTCCCTTAACTTTCAACAATTGATCTTTGCGCTCTTTATGCCTATAAATAGGGAGGTTGATGTTGGTTTCTTCTTTTTAACTTCTTTTACTTTGAACTCTATCTATTATCTTCCACTATTTACGACTCTAGTCTCTAGCAGTTGTAGTCATAACTTTCGTGGCTTCACTTTATGTGTTCTTCATTGCATTATTTTTCATTCTCTAGAATCTGCAAGATTATTGTTGCAACTATTTAGGCTTTAACTTTTTTTTCTTTATCAATTTGTACTTCGTTGCCTAGAACGTGCAAACATATTCAAGGTACTTTTTCTTACCATTGGCTTTCTCTGATTTGCATTAGCTCTTTAAGTTATGGCCAACATAAGAAACCTAAATATTCCTTAATTGACTTAGGTAGTGATGTCAAAAATAGTTACGCATAGTCCAAGGCCGAAGCGGAAGTAATAAACTAAAATGTTATAAACCTAGATGAATAGCTATTAGAAAAAAGAAACTCATAACTGGACATCGTTGTAATTAGAAATTTTGCCCCTACTTGGTTGGATATTAGGGAAGTTGCTCGAGGATTTGTGTTTTGAGTTGGCCAAATGCCTAATACGGGTAGGACCCCGGTGCTAATCCCAAAAACACAAAGCCCATTAAAATTATACATCATATATAATTGACACACGTAAGACATTGTAGTTGCATGTCCCTAATACATTCCGAGAGAGCGCCTTAATACAATTATTTTGTTGCTTGTCTTATCGCTTTCATTTTGCTTTACTTTCCATTATTAAGTCTTCTTCATGACTGCACCTCTCTAGATCAAGTTTTGAAATGATTTGTTTTTAGCATGCATAAACCATTGGCTAGGTTTGAACTTGATCATTATGATTTTAATCAATTGCATTAGTCACTAGAATAAGATTCATATATGTTATTGATTCAAGTTAGGAGGAAATAAACATCTCAAAGTCTTTTCAAAATTATGGAAAACTGATATTTTGTGTGTTTGATTCGAATCAAGCACATATCCTGATTTGAATCACTTTGGACAGAGGTAAAGCAGAAATTTTCAAAACACCTAGATTCGAATCAAAATTTACACATGATTTGAATCATAAAATTATGGGTCATCTTTGCTAGAATTGATTCAAATTAGACTTTACACCTGGTTCAAATCAGGCAGTTTTTTCACATTTTTCTGTTGACTCAACTTGATTGATCCGAATCAGACTTTGCTCTTGATTCAAATGAACTGAAAAAATGGGTTAAAACTTTATTTTTCTTTTACAGGTTGATCACAATAACCAAATAAAACTTTTCCAGACGGAGTTCTAGAACCAAACAGAGATTTTAAGACTGGTTAATCTCAAGAAACAAACTCAATTCTTTAAGAGTATTGCACTCTTGAAAATAAAAATGATGGCACGACACTAGTACAACTCATTCCTCATAAGCAATTTTCACTCACAAGGAAATAAGGCAACTTTGGTGAAAATAAAATATTTAGAGAGAGAGAGAGAGAGAGAGAGAGAGAGAGAGAGAGAGAGAGAGAGAGAGAGAGAGAGAGAGAGAGAGAGAATAGAGAGAGCGAGCGAGAGAGAGAGAGAGAGAGAGAGAGAGAGAGAGAGAGAGAGAAATTGCAAAGAATTAGAGAAATCCTGAATTCTGGTGTGAAATGAAGTGAGGAGACGTCTCCTTTATATAGGGAAAATTTTGCATGAAAAAGGAAACGATCCATAGGTAAATTAACTCACCTAATCGATTAGGTCCCAAGTCTACACGGATATGTACTTCAAATAATATATTATTCGTGCTCAGTATGGAAGGTTTGGAATGAGAGTAATTACCAATCATTAAGATACTGTTATAATTTATTATACACTCAGTTAATCATCATCTAGTTAATTAGGTTCAAAATCTAATTGATTAGATACTTGAAAAAATTGTCTTAATCAAACAAACAGTCCCCTAATTAATTGGATAAGCCTTGAAAGCATTTTTAGGTGATTTTGTCAAGTAAAGAGAGGCCTTAAGAGTATTTTTGGTGTGTGCATGTGTGTGTGTGTATGCCCGCGAGCAAAAGCGCGCGTGTGTATGTTTGTGAAGGGCATTTAGTGAATTTATCAAGTGTGTTTTGAAGATCATAAATTTTATTTTTCAAAATGTCACATTGATCACACTTGATAAATTCCTCTAAGACTTTGTGAGAAGAGGAAGAGTTTTAAATTAGATCATCTTGTCTCTCTTTACGTCTTTCTATTTCTTCTAATAAGTTTTTTTTTAAAATTTGAGGGAAGAAATAATATCTTTGAAGGTAGAGATAATTTGTTATAATTGACTTGTTTCTTTTGTTAGCTTTTCACATATGTGAGACAAGTCTTGATAATAAAAAATAAGTGGTTACATCATCTTCTTTATGATTTTCCATAAGACATGCGGTTTCTTCTTCCTCGTCATAGGATTCTACATCATTGTTATCCAAAGATATGTAGGCTTCTTAACGTCTTTTCGTGGTTTCTTGGATCTTCTCTGATTTTGAGGGAAATTTGGTCTTATGTGTCATTCCTTTCCGCATTGGTGACATCTGAAAATGAAGGAGTATATTTCTTTATTTTCCTCTTAGAAACTTGAAATTTATTTCTTCGTGTCTTTGGACTCATTGAATTTTTTAAACATGAGATTCATGTATTTGTTAATCTTACTTTGACAGTTTTCATCTTCTTATTCTATATCTCTGATGTTAGTAGTATTTAGTGTTATACTTTTCCTCGTATTTTTGTCATCTTCTTCGTCATCAACAAGTCTCTTCAACTTCATATCATGTTCCTTCAATTTACTAAAAAGAGTGTGTATGTCCATGGTCGCTAAATCCCTATATTCATAGATAGTAGTGATTTTAGGTTGCCAACTCCGATTTAGGCATATAATAATTTTCACAACCAATTCCTTATTTAAAAATGTTTTTCCTAGAATTCTCATATGACTCATGAAATGGGTAAACCATGTTTACATTTTATTTATGTTCTCTTCAGTTTTCATTATGAAAATTTCATACTCGTGTGTTAATGGGCCCAACCTTGCCCTCTTTACTTCAATAGTTCTTTCATGGATAGTTTATAGGATCTCCCACATTTCTTTTGCAGTCTCATAGTGAGAAACTTGCAAAAATTCATCAAGAGCGAGAGTGATGGTGATGACAGTTTTTGCATTTAACCACGTTATACATTTTCTTTATCATATTTGGTATAAAACTTTTCAATTTTATCCACTATAACATTATCGACATCGTGTGTAGGAACAAATGGACCATCTTTCACAACCTTTCAAATGCCACGATCCATCCATTCTATAAAAATTTTCATTTTCTCTTTCCACAAATTACAGTCTTCTCCATAAATTGTGACATTTAAAATTTCTAATAATTTTATAATTTTTGTTACTTTAAAAATAAGTTGTGTTAGTATTTTGTAAGATTTATTCTATGTTTTAAAATTTGATATTAATAATAATTTGAAATTTATACACTATTAAAAGATTTTGATGTGAGAAAAATTCTTCAAAGTCATTTCCTTCTTATAATATTTAATTCTTTTCATTTATTTTTCTCAAAATCCTTTCTCCCCTCCCTCGACAAAAGGTCAGGACGAATTCTTCCTCTCCTTCAGCTTCTTTTTCTACTACTCATATGGCTGAACGAACGTAGAAACTTTCATGCGACGTTGAGGGTCCATTAGAGACTCAATCTTCTTTGGATCTTTTTGCTCATGGACAAACTTCCTCTGTTTGGATGGATAAGGGGCCAATAGATCGAGCTTTGGCTCGTGTTGATGACGCTAAAAGAGGTTGGGATTCAGATGTTTCCCGGGGGGAAAGTCTGAGTAAGAGGCTCAAGATATCAAATTCTTCTCCCGCAGGACTTACTATTCTTGGGTCTGGGACTTCATCCACTCTCTTCAAGTTTCCTGATGTTTTTCGATCTCTGATACCTCACAATTTGAATGAGGCATAGGCTTGTGTGCCCAAACAGGACCTTGCTTTCCTCCAGAGATCTTCTTGATGTAGAGAAGATGAAGTTGATTTCAAGGGTCGCCTTCCATATGTTATGTAGCACTTCTCTGATGTTCATTTCAAATGCGGGTTAAACGAATGTCCTTACCCATGCAATCCCTCTAAGGAGCGAGATATCTAGAAGGGGAAATATGACATGGCTACCCATGACCGAGTGCGTATCTAAGAAAATTGTTTAGCCTCCAGAAAGAGACGATTAGGGTCTCTAACCTTCAAAAAGAGGTGGATACCCACGACTCACCCTCTATTTTGGTTGCTAGAGGCTAAAGATTGTTAGACGATAGGCTTCGATCTAGAGGAAGTTGAATAGATCATAAATTTTAAAATAAAACTTTTGGCAAAAATTGTTTTCAAAAGTTTTATGGCACAACGAAAATGACCCGAATCGAATCGTCTAGCCGAACATACTATTGAAAAGCTCAGATATGCGTAACGTAAACCAATTGGATGATAATGAACACAAATTGTTCAACAACGATTAATTCACAAGTCAATTAAATGTTAAGCTACTCGGAGAGCTTATTTCCAATGAACAAAAATCAATTAAAATACTCAAAGGCAATTTATCGAACACTTTGTGTGCAATCGATAACATTTGGAAATTCAATTTATTATGTTGATGTTAAAAACCAATCACAATCAAAGTGATTATGATTATATTAACAACAACACTTTAAAAGATAATTGAAAAGCAAATTTCAATTGAATTGATCAAAACAACAATGAACTCGATAATTTCCAAGAACAACAATTTAAAGAGATATAGAGAGATAGATAGAGAGACATAAAGATTTGTTTAGGCAATTCCTCAATCGGCCTCGTTATAGGTATGTCTGCCCTAAATTTGAAATCGAATTGAGATACTTGCAATTAACCTTATCTTTGCAAAAATGTTTATACAAGAAATGAAGAACTCTAACCCCACAAACCCTATCGTTTGTTGTTGATTCTACCACCTCCAAACCCTTGATCAAAGTTTGATCAAGTCATCAACAATGTTGCTACAATCCACTAGTTCTTGATTACTTTCTTGCAATACCTCCTCATTTTCAAGGTTTTTACTCGGTCGGATTAATCCATAACACGCACTTGTTGAATCCAAGATTCACGAGCACGATTCACTATCTCGCGCTACTCCTTTGCAACGAACCACCTTGTCCCAAGGCCTTCACTCGGCCGAATCCGTATTTGCGTGATCTTATCCAAAACCTTCAAATCACAATGATCTTGAAGGAAACCCCAACTTGATTTTCTTATTTGAAACACATAAAAATCTCAACCCAATATTCTCGGTTACACAAATCTAATTGGACGTTATCAATCCTAATTTAGATGGTCACTCAATCAAAAAATGATTATGTGTAGTTTGATTGTGTATATGCATAGAAGAAAGGTTGAAAAAGATGGGAATTCTTTGTAATTCTGGTTTCGTTTAGGTTTTATACTAGTACCTTGCTAGAATATAATGCATGTATGAGTATATATAGGTATGGGAGAAAATGAGCAAAAGGAATGCAATTGGATGGAGCAAAAATTAATTTTTTTGAGAGGAGGCTTCATATGTGTTAGTCTATTAAAGCAATAAGTCGGCCTATGAAGGTATTCAGGTCAGCCCATGAAGATTTCAGGTTGTCCTGTGAAGGTCTTGTGTCGACCATGTGTCGACCTAAGTGAGGCGAGCTGAGGCAGTGACTACAGACTTTAATATTGATCAGTGGGAACCGACCTGAGATGACCATGTGTCGACCTATACTGAAGTTGAAATTTCTATAGGTCGACCTGTTTATGCATGTGTCGACCTGAATTGTGTTGACCACCCAAAAACTTGTTTTCAATGTATTTTTCACAAAAAAACTAAGTTTTCAAAGCATGTAGAATGTAAACTCCTTTTCCAAATCATTTGAATGCTTCTTAATACTAAGATGCTCATATAGAATGGAAAGATACCGTTCAATATACATAATACTACATTATTCTAATTTTAACATCATTTAAAATCCAAAAGTACACTCACAAAGATAAGGCCCTAGAGGAGGCGAAGGCTTCTTTGGCGACCTTGACCTCCCAACTGAATGTAGCTGAAGACACCCTGAAGAAGGAGAATGACTCTCACGCCAATGAGCGAACGACTCATACTAAAAAGCAAACAACATCGCAGAAGAAAGTCAATGAAGCTATGAATGAAGGTCTTAAGGTTTACTTCGATTCTTTTGAGGATGCGGCTTATCAAGTGGAGCTATTTTGTCTGAGTGACGTGGTTCCTCGACCGGAGCTGGATCTAGGGAAAGTGCTCTGAGAAGGAGTCATTGTGAGAGACAACGAAGACCCCAAGGAGGATCCCTGTGTATAATAGCATCCAAAGTATCAATTCACCTAGGATGACATGGAAATATGTTTCACCGATCATGTTTTGACAATCTTCTTAAAAAAAAACATTATTACTTTCAGGGATGATACAAAACTCAAGAAAATGGAACATATATCATTTGAGCTTATAGAAATAAGATTCAAAACCAATCGAGTTAGATGATACCTTAGTCAGATCAAGAACCGATTAAGTTAGATGCTATCTTATTTAGATTTGTTCAAGTCTTGTATGATTTGTTCGTATGATTTGTTCAAATCGTGTATGTCCCACGACTTTTGATGAGATCAAAATATGCATAGTTGAGTTGATGGAGAAGTGACTAGTTTATCTGATCTATACCTAATCTATGATTTTGTTTATATGTAATAGATGTTTTTAATTATCTGCAACTTATTGTTGGTGTTTGACATACAAGATGTGAAATTTCATCTGATTTAATGGAGTATTTTGATTCATTATGTTTTTATTCATAGGTTCATTAATTTCATATTCTAGAATCTGAGTGCCTCGTAAACACTCTCCAGATTGCAGAATCTAGATAACATTTTTCTGTCAATTTCTGAAATTTCTAACAGAATATAAAGGATAAGAAAAGAAAAAATCACAACATTTAATAACAAAGTGTAAGATGTGTGCAAATACTTGGGTATACATAAACAATGCTCCCAACAGAGTTCAATGGTTCTTATTGTAAAAGCACAAGGGTAAAAGAATACTGATAAAGGGTGATTTCTACAAGGTTTGTGACGCTTTGACAAATGGTTTTCATTTGCCGGAAATTAATCTAAATTTATTTACTATCCAAATCCAGTTAAAACAAAAGTCTGCTACAAGAACAAAACTCCAAATTATTGGCAGATACTATGGGTAGAATATGAGTAGAGAAAGTGAACAAGATCTTTGATCGGAAATGGATTATATGCCGTCAAAAAGTAACTGTAGATTGACCTGACCGCGTGGCCACAGCAGATCCCATTATTTCGAGTCTTTCAATATTGTAAAAATGACAGTGATTCACCTGACTGCATGACCACAGTGATTCACCTGACTGCATGATCATAGAGGATCGCAACCTTAGGCAATCTATGTCCATCTATAATGCTTGTACAAACATAAGAGAACACTTAGCATGTACCTGTGTTTTAGTGGTGCATCACTGCGACGATAATCTTAACCTTTGAATGAAATCAATGACTTGCAGTGCACCAGTAATGCAAGAGCAATACAACACAATAAAAGACGTTTCCACCTTGATATCTCCACTAGAATGAAAAGGAAGTTCTGGACAGTTCTGAAGTTGTTTATTAAGAAAAATAAACGGAGGAAATCCGAATCCAAGGCAGAAGAAAAGGGTAGCTACAATACAAGCATTAGATGCCCCTTAAGATCTCACTCTCAGAACTAAAGAGCTTCTACTCACCAATCATATAAATGTGTAAGTTCTCCCATTCTGCAAAGCACTATACCAAAAGCAAAAAATCACACATTATGAACTGAAAAATGGTGAACAAGAGAAAAGTAAGAGAGTGTGAAAGAAGGGAAGAGAACAGTGAAGAAGAAAACACCGAACTGATACAGATAAGTGAGGAGGCAGCATCAGTAGCCGCTGCTCTCCTAAGAGTTCGAAGAGCGAAAAACCGTTTCATTGGGGTGAGGCAAAGACCTTCAGGAAGATGGGTGGCTGAGATCAAAGACACCATACAGAACATAAGAGTATGGTTGGGGACTTACGATACTGGTGAAGAAGCTGCCAGGGCTTATGATGAGGCTGCGCGTTTGCTTCGTGGTGCAAACACCCGCACAAATTTCTTTCTTTGTCAATCTTCTCATTATGTTCCTGCTCTTCCCCCAAAGATTGTCAAACTCCTGCTTCTTAGGCTCAAAGCCAGAAACATTGCCTCTTCTTGTGTTCCTACGAGTAATACTACTTCTTTTCCTACTAACCACTATGATGAGCAAGAAACCAACGCAGCACCTGAACCACATATTTTTCACCAAATAGAAGAAAACTTTCTAGAAAGTTACAGTGGTGCTTGTTATGGTTCTACTATTGACTGTGGCAGTGGGATTAGTGAAGAAGATTTTAACCAAGAGGGTGGCCGAGAGGATTTCAGATCGGGGTATCATTATGCTAACAGTGTTGATGATGGTGGAAACAACCAGATTGTGGGGTGTAATGAAGAATTTGAAGACTCTGATGCTGGCGTCATTGACTTCCAGTTTCTGGATACTGTTGGATCATTAAGCCACTCTTACTCTTCTCCATTTGAGATAGCAGAGGAGATGGTGGGGCCAATGGTGGAAGAGAAATTTGATGTGGATGATTCACTGTTACTTAGAGAGACTTTTAGAATGAAGTATGAACGTAAATTCTCAGCTTGTCTTTACACCTTGATTGGGGTGTCTGAGTGTTTGCGACTACAAGTTGGAGAAGAAAATGGAAATGAAATATGATATTTTTGAGGATGGGGACAATGAATTAGCAATTACCAGAATAACAATACCACAGAATAGGAATAAAGTGAAGAAGCATAATAGCATATCAAATGGAAACGTTTAGACTTACTAATAGGAAGAACGGAATTTGCGCCCATTCATTTGGAGCTCTATTCATGGTATTTATTCTGTGAAGTCAGAAAATACAATTGAAATAGTTTAGGTTATTCTTTATAAATTAAGGATTGCAAGTTATCCCATATTCTGAAATTTCAATATACATAAAGCTAATATGGTATCTCTACATGTACATGAACATTAGCTTTCTATCCTATAAATTCTTAAACCCTTTCCTCTAGATGTTACTTTTCTGTAATATTTGGAAATAACTCAAAATTCCATACCAATCACAAGAATCTTGACTAGTATTTTGCCTGAAGAAAAGTGAAAACGATATGTTCTATTCTATATAAACTCCCTGAAAAATAAGCATCTCTATGAATAAAAAGTAAGAAAAATATAAGATAGTGGATCTTCTATTGCCACAGAACAAAGTCCGAGTGCATATAATATATGCCCACTACCATCAAATATTTATTAGTGTATATATCCATATATAAAAGAACCTTGCAAGACTAGAGCTCGCCCATGTTCAATAAGGTGAAAATACTCGAATTGGAGAGCATTAGATCAATTCAACCGTGCTTGATCAATAGTTATGCTATGTACAGAGGGTACATAGCCTTCCATCCTTCCCTCCGGGCCTTAACGGGCAAGGCTTGAAGGGCGATCCATTCCAGTTACATTACAGTAGTTTTTGACCTGATGGAATAACTCAACCAGTAGGGTATGGGAGCAAACAATTCAATTGCTGATGAACTGGTTCAATCTGAGTCAAAGTTCCTCATGGAGACATTTGGATATACAATTTCACTAAATATTCATCTAATACACATTTATCATGTAAGAACTATTATAAACTGAGTTAACAATCAATGAAGGGATATGGGTAAATTCTGTCAAGTTTTTGTACAAGCTATCTTATAGATCTTATGAAAATACGTTAAAAACAACTTATAAGCAAATTATAAACTATTTTTATAAACTCTTCCTAATAATTACACAAGTTTTTATTTTATAAGGTAAGTCCAAATGAGCAGTTCCAAACACTCCTGAAATACAAAAGGTTGCTAGTGCATCCTACACTCTCTGATCTTCAGTTTTGGAAAAAAAGTGTTGGGTGGTAAAGCAACCTTTGTTTTAAACATACTGTTAAAAAAAATCAACAATGTCAGTTTTTCAGTCTTTTAAATAGACAATAGACTTTGCTATGCACTCATTCAAGTTCGCTCCTACTGTAAACCCAAACCTATGATAAAAAACAAAATGAGTTCTGTTAGGAACCCAAAAATTAAATTGAAAAAGTGACTATTTTATTGAAAGAATAAGAGAGAGATCTGTCCTCCAAGAGTTTCCCCTTCCACAACAGAGTCACTTCTCCATTACTCAATGTCTTCCCTCTATCAAAGTATCCTTCTATGTAAACGAATTCCCCTTTATTTTATATCGTAATAAGTTCAGACATAAAGCATTTGAAATATGAAAAAGAGGATGAAATGCAAGATACCATAGTAAGACAATTAAACCTTAAAAACACCAACCCTCTTCACACCGCATGCCCTAGCATCAGAAGACTCCTAATTAATTACCTGAACACCCCCCAAAAAAACTATTAAAATCAGGAGATATTTGTAATAACGGGGGCAGTTAAGAGACAGAAGTTAATATACTAACCTAACACCTCTCTCAATTAGTCCAGAGTCCAGACTATTAGTAATGAATGTGTTAGTCTAAAAATTTAAAGAAGCTCATCAATGTTTGAAATTAACAATCAATTAAACATAAATCTCCACAAGTTCCCCACCACAGCATTATGATAGAAGATTCAAAAACATTGGAAGTAACTGTAATATATCTTACCTATGAAAAATAAATGTATTCTTTGATTCGAATTAATTCCTTCCGTTTGTTTACAAAAGTATTACCTTGGCCACTGACATAACAAGAAACTAAAAACATCAATTACCCTGATTTTAAGTTTCTCTGTGTTTGTAAAGTAACTAAAAGAAGCCTTATCCATGTACTAAGAGCTATCTCATCAAGGTGAAAGCTATTTAAAGCCGTAGCTATCATATCCATATCCAATGTTCTGAATAAGTATTGATCCAAGGTTCCTCAATGACAACACAACTTGCTGAGAACAATCCATACCGCTTCTGCTTCTTCTTATTAATTCAATTGATATACTCAATATCACACAGGGAATTATCATTGCATGCCTATTGTTTCAGCAGAAATGGCCATAGTTTCTAAAATTGAGATGCCTTCGCCGTTTGAGTTTTCCATGCTAGAAGATCTACAACTGAAATAGAAAACTGCACTCATCATGGAATCTACAAGCACCACAAACGAATACATTATCACCAAGAGCGGCCCTTCCCACATTCTTGAAGATCCATCACCATAACTCAGTATCTTTACCCTGTGCTCAAAAAGCCCCTCCACAAAGGCCATCCCTATTGTTGATCCAAGATATATCAGCAGACCCACCTGAGTCTGACCCTTGATTAAAATATTAGACCGCAGCATCGCCTGCGCCCCCGAAACATCATCAAGCACCGAGATCACCAATGCGATGTTGCAAATGATTATGGCATTGGCAAAAATAACAGAGAAAACTAGCCCAATCATCAACGCAGCATACACAAGAACATTAGGAGAAAACCCAAGAACAGCCAAAGCACTGCAGAACGCAACAAGGAAAACACAGAACATAGTAACACAACCAACTATAATCGTACAAGCCCACATATAAGTCGAAAGTATCTTCCTCCAAAACTTAGCAACAATCACACAAAACTTAGAAGAATCAAACTTCTTTTTGGAATTACTACAATCAACAGAATACACCACCGCAGTTTTCGACAACAATAACAAAGTCGTATACAAAGGAAAACACATCGCAGACGAAATAACAGTCTCGGCGAATCTCTGACAAGACTGTTTGATCATAGGTCTCAAAGGAAGACCACTAGTTTCAGCAACCAACATAAGCCTAATAGTGAGATTCTTAACAATAGATTCATCCACCAACACATTAGACAAAAGCACAGCAGAAACAGGACAAATAAGCAAAACGGTGATTATCATGAAACCCCATGAATTAAACCTAAGAATCCTTATAGTCTCTCTGAGAATATCCAAAGCATTCATTGATTTGATTTCATAATTGTGATCATCAGAGGGTTGCAATTCAAAAGCTTGACGTAAACGTGATTCATCTGATCCCTCTCTTTTCAAATGATCTGACCTAATCCTAGGAGAACAACCTCCACTGGAAATCTCCATTTTCGGATGAAAACAGAAAATTAACAAAAAAAATCGATTATTTCATTGCAAATGAGTATCAATTTACTCCAAATTGAACGTGAAATCCAAGATCTGAAACAAGTGGATTAAGCGAACAAGACGTGAATCACAAAGTGAAATGCATTGTTGTCGGCGATGAACATTGAATAGAAGGGAATTGAAGATATACAGTACCAGGAAAATGGGTACAGAGAGAAAAAAAAGGAGCAAAGTGCAGCGTTGAAGAGTGAGATTGTGTGGAAGAAGAAGAAGAAAGGAATTTGTAAGAAAAAGGGGCAAAATATTCAGATTTGCATTACATTGTTGAAGCTGTTTACAGCTCGAGAATAATTTTCACTTTCGTTTTTAGGAAACAAAATGTAGTAGTAATATCTTTATAATAACCACTTTAAATTCTCTAAATAAATAATGTAAATATATTAATATATTTCCTCTACCATGAACTTGGTAACATCTTAAATAAATTAATAAAAGTGCCAAGAATAAAAAATGTTAGCTCTTCATCTTTTATAGAAAGAGTTTTTTTTTTACCTATCTAGGAACACTATTTACTAGATACATATTTAGAGAAGAAAAATTATGGGTCCCCTAGATACATATTTTGAAGATGCTCCTTCAAATTAGACTAATATGAATCTATATAGTTTAAAATATGCTTCTGATTCCTTAAATTGATAGTTTGTAATTTTTAATTTTCTATTTTAAAAACAAGTTTTTTTTTTCTTTCTCAACTTTACATAAAGTTGGCACTCATTAAATTTTGCACAAATAGTCTCCTTATTAATGCCGTGATATTGTACAATGGAATCAACTCATATTTCATTTTATTTTAAATTAAAATTATTTGTTATTTATTTTGTAAATTAATACCAACTTTTTATATTTCAATTTAATAAAATATTATGGTAATTTTAATTTCCAAAATAGCATCATGTCATATCACAAATTTTACACTTAAATTCTATAATCTTTTATTTATCATTTTAGGTCAATTATTTTTCGCATACTTCCAATTTATTAGCGTGAAAGAACTTGTTGGATTTACAGCCGAATCGGTCAAACCAAAAGTCAATTGTGCGTAAAATTAATGGACGGAGAATTTTAAAATCGAGCCTGCAGGCGCCAACCATCTTAATATGTGTTTCACGTAGTTTAATCTGCGGTGCTTATTTAATTTTTTCGATCACTTTTCAGTTGTATTTTTGGACAGTTTAAGTCATTTTAGCGGGTAAAATTAATTTCGAAATTTGACCAAACGCTATATTTTTCCAATACGTATATTTTTCGCTGATCATTTGAGTGTATTCATTTTATTTTTCTGAACAGTTCAATATCAGTCTAAGTACTCGTTTTTACCGTTTTTTTTATTTCTATTCTTAATTAATAATTAGTTTTATTAATCAGATTTTCATTTTATTAATAGCTTATTTATTTTATTATATTTACCATTTTTTATTTTTAATATTTAAAGTTTTGTTTTTTATGCTTTTATAGAAACACTTGTTAATTAAGGTTTAATAGTCTGTTTGTTTGTTACTATTTTTATGGTAAATTAGTTGGCACATCTCTCTCTTTCTTATGCACCACACGATAGGTCTCTATTTCACATTGCATGAAGGATCACCTGCTTTGGATATTTTACTCTTATGGAAATTTAAAAGTCTGCATATGAAAAATGTACAACACATACTACTTGCAAATACTCAACTCACTACTTTTCCATATCACTACCCTCTCTCATGAATCTCTTGGCAACATTACATTACAAAAGACACACAATTTTCTACTAAATAGAGAATCCCCCACACCTAGAAAAAAGCTAGTGGACCACACCTTTCAGGATTTTTCTTCTGCTTCCATTTTAAACAATTCCACTTTTTCATAACCAAAAAAACACCATCTTCAAATCCCTCACGTACAGAAACAAACCGCAGCATATCGAACCATCACATATACAACAAAACAACACGCCATACTCTTTGACTTGCAAACTACTTTCCTCCTCATCTCATTCTACCCTTAAACCGTGTAAAAACACCAAGAACTCACTTTTTTTTTTCTTCATTTTACACACCATAATGAGACCCCACCAGCCTTACGTAGCTTTCTCACTAACAACTAACTTTCTGTTAACATTTGCGACTTAGGATTGGAGTCGCCTTGCTCCAGGTAGTCGTTCCGCCGTGAACATTTTCCTATTACTTTTATTATAGGACTTGGAGTCGTCGTGCTTTATTTAGTCGTCCCGCCGTGGACATTATCTTCCTTGCTAATTTAACCTTAGTTTAGAGTCGTCGCACTCTATGTAGGTGTCTCACCGCAGACATTTACTTTCCCCCTGGAACCTTGACCACAGTCAAGAGTTCTTCACTCCTATTGAGGGGAACTACGGTTGCTCTGATTCCATTTCCGTCAGGATACGTAGGCACGAGATGTGATGTCTTGGCGAGCATACTTTGTATATACTTTAGATCTTTACCTTAGCACTTTTCCTTTGGCAATCACACTTTACCATAACACAAATACTAACAAGAGGTTCCTGTAGAGTACTACAGATACTTAGGATGCTAACACCTTTCCTAGGCATAACAAACCCCCGAACCTTAGATCTCTTAGCTGCACTGTTACATAGTGCACTTAGGATTTTCTTCGATCTTTACCCTTTCCTTTGGATAAATCAAAGCTCGGTGGTGAACTTCATGATTTGTGATTCAAGTTAATATAATAGCTTGATATTCGATTCTCACTGCAACCCATCATTTTCTTAATCTGTCATAACCTTAAATCCATTTTTCTTCAGTTCACCATTGTTGCTCAAGCACAAACTCTCAAGCACCATTGTTGGTAATTTGAATCTAAGTTCACTATTGTTGCTCAGAAACAATCTCTCAAGCACTATTGTTGCTCATTTAAATCTAAGTTTACCATTATTCACTGTTGTTTCTCAAGCACAATCTCTCAAGCACCATTTTTGTATTTGCAACATTTGTTTCTTGGGAATCGAAGTTCGCGAAGATGAGCAAGGGGCGTTTCGATAGTAGTGAAAAAGTAAAATTATGATTAAGGTATGTTTTGTTGTCCCTTTTGAACCATCACCATGCTCCATTTTTTGTTGTTGTGTCATTTGTATGTTAACTTGTGGTCCACCATGATTTTGTTATGTTAACTTGTGGTCCCAACTATTTTCTTGCTTTATTTGTATGTTGTCGTCCACCATGTTTATTTAGTGTTAAGTTGTGGTCCCATTGCATGTTAATTTATTCCATTATTTTTCAATTAGTTCTCAGGTCAACTAAGGGTCATAATGTTAAGTTAAGAATACACCATATGGGGAGACTAGTTCTTGAACCTCTTAAGTCGTGTGTTGATGGAGATGTATCTGAGATGAATTAGAAGTTGGATGCGGATTACATGTCATACATGAATTTGGAGAGTTTGAGTAAAAGTAAGAGTTATAAAGACATAAGGTGTATGTGGTATTGAAACCCTAAGTTCAACTTTTCTCGTGGTCTTAGACCCTTGAATAATGATAATGATCTGTTGTAGTTTTCCAAAGATGTCATTGGGTTTGAGGTAGTATATGTATATGTGAAGCACAATGCAGATAATCTTGATATTATGGATGCAAGTGAGTTAGGTACTAACATTGATGATGATGACGATGATGTTAATGATGAACATGTTGAAGAAATGAATAGTGATGGTAATGTTGACGAGGATATGGAACACGAAACATATCAAGATTCTGATCATATATGCACCCCTCTTATGAGTGATGTTGATGAAAAGGTAATTAAGTTTCCAACTTACAAGAGTGGTGATGGAGTGAATTTTTATTTAGGGATGATGTTTACCAACAAGGAGATGGTAAAATATGCTATCAAGGCACTACGCTAGAAATCACTTTTAGCAGCGCATAGAAAGACAGCGCTTTATACAAAAGCGCTGCTAAAGGGCCAGTAAAAAAAAAAGAAAAAAAGCGCCTACCAAAGACAGCGCTTTTTTTTAAAAGCGCTGCTAAATGGTGGGCCTAAGAAAGCGCTTTTAAAAAGCGCTGCTAAAGGGGGGGCCAACGAAAGCGCTTTTCAAAAGCGCTGCTATAGGTATTCATATTATAATTTTAAGGCACCCTATGAAAGCGCTTTTCAAAAGCGCTGCTAAAGGGGGACCCTTAGAAAGCGCTTTTTATATAAAGCGCTGCTATATGGAATTGATAAGGCACCCTATGAAAGCGCTTTTAAAAGCGCTGCTAAAGGCCTTTAAAAGCGCTGCTATAGGTATTCATATTATAATTTTAAAATACCCTCCAGAATTTTAACAGAATCAGAACAGTCACGCAACACATTTCTTCTTTCTCTGGCGAACGAAAACGAACGAACGAACCACTGTTCATCGTCCGACCATCAACTTCTTCCGTCCGATCATCCTTCCGACCATCACCGACCGTTCACCGTCCGTTTTTGAGTTCATCCATCCGTCTGCATTGCCGGTCCACCATTGTTACGGTACGTGAAACTTTACTCTGCTTTTCTTGTTTTTTTTTTATCTTTTCACCATTGTTGTTCTGATGATATATAGATGGTTTTTATCTTTTCAATGATGGTTTTTGTTGTTGTTGTGTTAGTTGTTGTTGTGTTAATATGATATATGAGATATATATGATATTGTTGTTGTTGTTGATGTAAAATAGTTTATATAGTTTGCAATGTAAAATAGTTTATATATGATATTGTTGTTGTTGTTGATATATGAGATATATTGTTGTTGTTGTTCTGATGATATATTGTTGTTGTGTTAATATGATATATGAGATATATATGATATTGTTGTTGTTGTTGATGTAAAATAGTTTATATAGTTTACAATGTAAAATAGTTTATACATGATATTGTTGTTGTTGTTGATATATGAGATATATTGTTGTTGTTGTTCTGATGATATATTGTTGATGATATATTTGTTATAGTTTATATTTGTGT